TTGAATGAACAGCATGTTAAAATTGATGAATGCGTCTTTGGGGGATCGGCCACTGGCTGGAATGAACACAGCTTGAGGACGGGTTGCTTAATTACAGGTCGTGCCCCTGTTTATTTTCAAGTTTATTCAAGTCAAGAACTTGTCAACTTATTCAAGTCTGGCTGATAAATTCAAAAAATCAGAGTCGAAGTCCGAGTCATTGCTTCGTCTGCTAATCATCCATAGTTCTCAATGCTTCTCTGGGAAATTGGGTTGTAATTACATAGTGGAAAGGTCAAGGGTAGGCGGGGCTTCAGATGTGGGGGCAAGAGTATCTTAACCTTTTCATAATCGTGCGCCTATTGTACCTGCTTTTATGTAAGGTGTCGGAGGTTATAGTGAAGGGGGCCGGGGGGGGAAGGGAACTATCAGGGAAAAGCGCCAAGCCATTACGACTATATAGCACTGGGAAGGGGTCAGGATAAGGATTTGGGATGGGATGGAATGGGGGGAAGGAATGGTGCCCAACCACTTGGACGGTCGGGGGATTGAACGCCGACCTGCATGAAGCAAGACCGTCGCTCTACCGTCCAGCCCAAGTAGTTGGGGGGGGGGGGAGGAGTACATGTATCTGGTTTTTACGTTTTTAATTTCTTTTATTAAGTGGAGATGGAGGGAGGAGAGGATGGGGAGACAATTGCTGTAGGTTCGAAGGGCGTTTTCTTTGATTAGGTTTGGCGCGTTTTCTTTAATTAGGTTTGGCGCGTTTTCTTTAATTAGGTTTGGCGCGAATTCTTTGATTAGGTTTGGCGCATTTTCTTTGATTAGGTTTGGCGCGTTTTCTTTGATTAGGTTTGGCGCGTTTTCTTTGATTAGGTTTGGCGCGTTTTCTTTGATTAGGTTTGGCGCGTTTTCTTTGATTAGGTTTGGCGCGTTTTCTTTCCTTGTGTACTGCAGTTGTCAACTTGTGCTTATGTTTGTTTATATGTTGTGTGTTGCTAACAGTTACTATGTTATGTTTATATGTGTGTGTGTGTGTGTGTGTGTGTGTGTGTGTGTGTGTGTGTGTGTGTGTGTGTGTTTTTGGCCAGAGGATTCTAAGACATACATTTGTTTCTCTCTCAAAGTTTTGCTTTGTGTTTATCGGTTTCGTTTGCTCAGTTTGTCTGGAAGTTGCTCATATCTTCTAGTGTAACAATGGCGGTCTTATTGTAATTGAAACTTTGATTTTCTGATTTATTTGTTATCTTGGACTTGACTTTGTCACTCTCACTTTTTATGTCTGTCTCGCTTCTAATAGCAAGAGAGGTTAGAAGCTGCGTTGGAGTAGAGTAGAGTAGAGCTGGAGTAGAGCTACAGTACAGTAGAGCTAGAGTAGAGCTACAACGTTGCAGGGGGAAGCTATTGATGTGTAATCAGATCAGTTGGACATGTTTGTTGGCAAATCTCTCATAGTAGTAATTGCTATATAGCTGAATTATGTTTTTGCAGGTCGCGCTGTTTTTTTTTTTTTTTGTTCTGTCCTGTGTTTGTCTCCCTGCTTGTCTGTCAGCCAGCTTGCCTGTCTGTACTTGCCTGTCATCTTGCCCACCTGAATTTCTTTGTCTATGGTTTGTCGCACTACCTTGCTAATGTAATTGTGTTTACGTCATAATGTGTGTGTATACGTATAAGGTTTTTTGACTATTCGCCGTTGTCTGTTTCTCTAACTTTCAATGTGTGTGTGTGCATGCGTGCATGCGTGCGTGCGGGGCGCGTGCGCCACACTGGACTCCAGACCTCACTGGTAGTCAGGTGGTGCAGACACTGTCGAATCCACTTGATTGCTAACATTAGTACACCGGAGTTGTGTCTGCCGGAATTACGTCAGAAATGACACTGAAAATTACATCTCTGCTGGGCCTTGACCTTTCGTTTCGGTCTGGAGTTTTCTGTTTTTGGGAAGGAGAAAGTTGAAAGAAGTTGGCGAGATTAACAGACAGACTCCGTAGAGCAAAGTGTATTACTGGACACACTTTGACGTAGTAAAAGGTTATGTATAAAATGCAACAAAATTAAAAAACACATGTATAATGTTCAATAGGAGTATACATTGTTTTGATCACCTTGAAGGATCTCCCTAAGGCGACCAGAGCATGGTGACGCTCGGCTTACCCCTAAACAGTCTAATGTACAAACATTTTTTAAATATAAAAATAGTTTATATTGATAAAGCTCCAAGAACGCTCACACAGTTAAGTATGTATTGCACATTCAGAAACACCTTGATGTAGCTCATTGTATACAGTGCCTACATTATATACAACGCACTGGCCCCTTTATGTGGGAGTTATTTGCCCTGAAAATACGGAATCTGGAGAGGTCGAACACGAAGCAAGAGACAGGAAGGACGAGGATGATGGGCAGGTGAGAGAAGGGGAGAGGAAGGAGGAGAAAGGGGAACTTGAAGCCGTAGATGACGATGACGACGTGAACTGGAAGGAGGACGCCGAGGACGAGTTAGACAAGGACGCGGAGATGGAGAGAGAGTTCTCGGACGAGTAGAATGACGACACGGGTGACGAGGACGATGAGGAATGCGGCTGACACGAAGACGACGAAGACGATGACCTCGGGGAGGAGCAGGTGGAGGAGTACCAGTCGATGTCCGCACAACACTGGAATGCATGTTCGGGGCCCGACGACATGTGCGTACTGCGGGGTCGTGATACCAGACTCCTGAAGGAGGATTTGTGCGCACTGCCATGTCTCCTGAAGTCGGTGTAGGGTGATGGAGTGGCCTCTCTGGACCTCTTGCCCCATCTGCTGAAGCAAGACGAGGAAGAGGAAGAAGAGGAGGACGACGACGACGAAGACGAAGAGAGGCTGAAGAGAGACGTGATAGCGCGTCTGGGCTTCCGAAGTGCTGATGGGGCTGATGGCGTGTGGGGCTGCGGGCTGCTGGTGCCTCCTACGGGGATCTGTGGGAACAGGAGAGTGGGGGAGTCTTGGTCAGGTGTTCACCAAGATACTATATAGACTTGATGGATTGTTGTGAGATTACGGGATCACCATAGCCCGTGCTACATGGACATTTCGTTCTGAGTAGCTAAATCTAAAACAACAACAACAACGTTGTGAGATAAGACTAAGAGTACGTGACAAAAATTTCAAAAGATTGTCAGAGTCCTTGAAAGGACATGAGGGGGGGGAGGGGTTTGCCGTCCAGCCCGTTCTCGCCAGCGTCTTCAACGTCAGGAAACTGTCGTACTAAAGTGCCCTAACCTAACCTACCAGAGGACCCACGAACAGAAAAAGAGACATTGTCAATTTCGTGAGCCGCTACCATTTTCTTGTACATCAGTTTTTAGCCTAGATAAAGTATACGTCAAAATGCGACGTGCTATAAAGAGGACAGGTTGATTTATCTGCTGGGTGAATGAGGCATCAGGTGAGAGGAAATGTGCCCAACTGTTTCTGCCCCGCCTAGGGATTGAACGCTGGTCCCCTGTGCAACAGGACACACTTCACAACTCTCTAAACAACGCTAATGTGGAACAAATATTTACATAAATTTATTAATTGCTTGAAATAAGTGAATTAGGAAGGTTGTCAATGATGCTGAAATAAATTCTTGGAATGTATTCGCGAGGATGACTTTTTTAATCACATCAAAATGTGAATAGGTTTGTGGTTATTTTATTAAATATGTGTAAGTCTAGCACAGAAACCTCTCTGAAATTTATCCAGAAAAAAAATGAGTAATGAGCCAAAGTGAAGATCAAATTGTTGTCGTCTTACCAGGAGCTCCGTGAAGCGTCTCGAAGATGGGGGTGTCGGAGTCTTGAGACCACGCTTAATGCTGGCCAGTGGCTGCCCAAAGAGGTGGTGCCTGCCTAACATGCCCGCCCTGGGACTGAAGGGCACATACCGGCCCTCACCGCCCCCTGGGACCCTCATCACTCTTGGCCCAGGGAAGAGTGGGCAGTCTCTGGTGGGCGTTGGTTCAGAGTGTTCGTCTGCTATCCTCACCCTCTTCGGGTTGCTGTTGGGAATGCTGTACGGTCGAGGTTGCAGGCTAAAGGGTTTCTTTTGGTCTTCATTTCTGTGTAATATTGATCTTGTGCTGTATGCTGTGGCTGGTGTTCTGACTCCGGCTGTGTCGCTCGTAGTCGTTTCTTCCGCCAGAGACGGCGCGCTGCTGGGGACGATTTCCAAGTTATCATAGTCGCTGAGGTCGACGTTTGTCGTTTTCTGATGCCTCTGGATATCTGTGTTAATTGGGGAAGCAGGTCTTGCGTTCCCGTTGATGTCGGTGTTCGTGCAAAGACGCTGTGTACTTTCTTCGTGGTTTATAGCCGTATTCTCAAGAGCATCATCCTCCTGAATGGGCTTCAATGTGGAATTCTTTCTGAGATTGTCGTTTTCTATGCTCAGTCTCCTGTGAACAGGAATGGATTCATAAGGAGTAACTAATGTAGAGTAATTCTGGTGGGTCTGCAGATCTGCTTTAATTCTCAGAGGTTTAGCGTTTTGCTCTTCAGTTATAGTTGTGAACTTTGGGGAAGAGCTTGATACTGTCGAGTCTCTGGATAAATATGATAGCAGCCTGGTGTCTCTCTCTATGGCAAACTGAAGCATTTTGCTTGTTTCGGGAATTAAAATTAAACGAAATTCCAAGGAAGGCACGGCCTTTGTCCTTGTTGGAGTGATGGACTTACAGATGTCTATGGCCGGAGGTTTGGGTGGCTCGACTCTCACTGGTTTCCGTAGAAATTGTTTGCTTGGAACTCTTAAGTCAATTTTGCTACGCAGAAGGCGGGAGTTTGGCAGATGCCACGAGGAGAACCGAGAGTGGGCGTCCGGGTCGGTGGCTATTGAAGAAAACGGAGAATACTCATTATTAGGGGTAACTTTGGTGTCTGCTACGAGTGTTTCTAGTTGTGCTCGCCCTGTTCTCAGCGAAACGGGGTCATCATAAACATGCGAGTCCTTCTCGTAAGGGGCAATTGACGTGATACTATAACGTGCTGGTGGCTTCCCGAGGGCTTCTATAAAACCGTGGCTGCCTTTTCCTGCAAAAATAAACAGTGGGCAAAAGTATGCGGTGTTGGTAAAACATGTTGCATCATAGAATTCAACATATTTCATTCATGAATCCACACACACACACTAATTATATGTATACATTTACCCTTTCTTATTTCCCTACCTGCGGGACTCACCTAAGCGCCCAACGTTTACACGCGAGCGACTTGTGACTTGCTGGGGAGGAGGTGGTGGTTCCTCCTCGTCTTCGGCCACTTGGGAGAATCTTTGTGGCACTGAGATTCTCTGGGTGAGGATTCCTAGCACAACACCCATCACCACCCCCAGAACCGTTACTACCACCACCACCGCCACTAAGGACGGCCCCAACATGGCTATGGGGCCCTTCCTCGTGTTGGAGTGGCCGTTCATGCTGCTACTGGTGGAGGTGTTAGAGGGAGCTGTGGTGCCAAAGAGGGTGGTTCTTCTGCTGGTGCCGTGGGTGTTGGCGGACCAGAGGGCGAGGCGGTATTGGGTGTCGGGCTCCAGGTCATACGCGGTTATCTCTGAGCTGACGCTCGAAATGTTGGACACTTGCTTTTCCGCGAGGAATACCTGCGGATGATACGCCTAATGTTAGCAAGTTGATATTACTTCCACTACCCTTCCTGTAAGCGCAGACCCTTCCCATACAGTCCTCCCGCTCCCTCCTACATTCACTCATAATAACATATTACTTGTCCATAGAAGTTATCTCTATATTTTTTTTTTGTTTATTCGATAGGTAGTAATAAGAGTTGACAAAAGATGTATACATAGCAGTTACATAACACACACAACGCTTTATCGTGTACTGTATTTGATGTGGTGTGACACCTATGTTGCCAGTGGTATCGTCTCCGAGGCTATCGTAACGATTCCCAGCGAAATATATTAAGTAATTATCAAAAGGCACAAAGTCCCCCCCCTCCCCTTGCATAACAGTGAACACTGATCTGGTGCTGTTCTGTGATGACGTACTGAACCATTCGCTATTGTTAAAGCAAGCAGTGCTTACATGCGTGTACTGACCGTCATGAAGAATGTCTGCGGGAGGCCTCCGTCGTGAGCGGCTGTGCAGGTCACGGTGAGGGTGTGAGCAGTTGCCCTGGACACTCCACACTGCTCGGGGGCGTCGGGTTTGTCTGCTGGCACTAGGCGGGCCACGCAGGGCTCCCTCTGGCGTCCTGTGGCGGTGTGGGCCCAGCACAGCAGCTCCCCGTAGTCCACAGCAGCCCGCGGGGTGTAAGAGATCCAGGAGGTGGAACCGACGAAGGTGATCATCTCCTCGGGGACTTGCAGGAGACCTCGGGTGGACTTGAGAGCCCAGGAGAAGCTTTTGGGCGGGGGATAGGCAGCCACCTGACAGGTTACATTGAGGGCATGGTGGCGTGGCACTCCCAGAACTTGCACAGTGTCACGGAGGCACTCGGGGCCGTCTGTATGGGGTGGAGAAAGGGTCGTGATAAGGTTAGGACAGCCCGTCTACGCTCGCCGCTGGCCACAGTCTCAACAGGTGAGCACTGTATGTTTCCCACTGTCGTGGCCCTCTCCATAACGTGACATCGTCCGCTACTTGCAGCCCATCCGTCACGGATGTCACATATCCGTCACCCCCCACCACCTCCCCCGGGCCCCCACCACCTCCCCCGGGCCCCCACCACCTCCCCCGGGCCCCCACCACCTCCCCCGGGCCCCCACCACCTCCCCCGGGCCCCCACCACCTCCCCCGGGCCCCCACCACCTCCCCCGGGCCCCCACCCCCTCCCCCGGGCCCCCACCACACCCGTCAATCACTCCACTCACCTCTCATGCCCATCCAACTCACGCTGGCCCACAATGGTGATCTCTGTCGTATTTGACAAGCTGTGTTCTGCCTTCTCCGGCCGCCACCACTAAAACACTACCACCAATACTGTTAATACTAACGTTACCTGCACTTCCAACTCCTTCCTTGAAACGTTGATAAAATGTATAGAAAATCAGAAATTTAGGTGCAGGGACAAGTCGTGATGTAACACCAGAGGCACATGTCAGCAGGATGACGAGGGTAGCATATGTCATACTGACATATGCTATGAGGGTAGCATATGTCATACTGACATATGCTACCCTCATATGCTACATACTGTCCAGTTATATTTCAGGGACTTGGACCAATATTCCTTCCGAGCGTTGTATACATCTTTTGTGAGACCTGTTATTAAGTATACTGCCTCGGCATGGAACCCCCTCTTCCTAAGGATATATAATAAAACTATATAAGGTTTAAAAAATGTGCAACAAGATTCGTTCTTGAGCTATGAAAAAACATTTAGGGATCAGGACCTCACTACAATTGAGGAAAAAATAGGGCAGACATGTTAACGACGTACAAAATACTATGAGGGACTGACAAAGTAGCACACTTGGGAGGAGGAGGGGGGGGGGGAATCATACAAATAATAGTTAAAAAGAAAACAAAGGTGAATGCGTTCATTCCCCAACGATCCAAGCGGTTGAGCACCGTTCCTAAGAAATGTATATATTTATCACTCTGAATGTTCTGTAATATGTTGAGTGTGATGTGTGTCACAATGAACACGTTGTACTGAACGGGGTGAGAACAGCTTGAGCTACCTAATCTCTTTGTCTGTATTTATACCTTAATAAACTTATTGAAATTTGATTCCCAACTCGTATCCCTTCCCAGTTGTATATATAGTCGTAATCGCTTACTTCTCATATTTTGTGTTATTTATATATACAAAAATTGGCATTAATTATGAGATTACAGAGAGAGAGATCTAGCTCTAGGGCCCCACCTCATAGCTATTGTACCTGTTGTGAAGTTGGTGCCACAATTCATTGGTCTTGGGTCCGATTCACCTTGCCATAAATAACTAATCAAGAGCTGATCACAGATGTGGGTTACATCCTATGGAATTTAAGTGATTGTCCGTGATTAAAGGAAAATAAATCAAAGTTTAAGTACGGTGGTACATGCTCTTGAAACGGTGAGTGGAGCCCCGGAAACACAAACCGAAACTGTCTCTATTTTCCGCTTGTTACAACTTGTAATAAAGTTGTTACATCTTGGCTTAACGTGTTTATGACGTATTAGAACGTTGTTACAACTTGCTATATTGGTTGTTATAACTGGTTAGATGTTAAAACTTGTTGGAACGTTGTACCAACGTCGTCGTTTCGGTGTGTGTTTGGCGGGAGGTGGCTTCCACCACGACTGCCTCAAGCTCATATCCCTCTTGTTTACTACCTGCTCTCATTATGAAAATTTCCTTACATTTCCCTCGCTATTTTATTTTTTATTTTAGTAGGCGAGAATTGCACAACTATGGGAGTACTTACGGACGATCAACAACTGTAGAGGGTTGCTGCGGGTGGAGCCCTCAGCGTTGTGGGCTGTGCAGGTGTAGGTGGAGGCGTCCTTCCTCTGAAGGTTGGGGAAGACCACGCTCATGTTCCCCACCACCAGGCCCCCGCCCGCCCCTGGGGAGAGGGGGGCGCCCTGCACCGTCAGGGGGAGAGAGAGTGAAGGGGGTAGATGAGCGACAACGATAAGTGGGGTTAATTGCTGGGTGGAGATGGTAGAAGGGGGGTTGGGGGGGGCGACTGTCACGTGAAGGGTTGTTTGTGAGAGTTTAAGACTGGGGGGGGGTTGAGACGGGAGGGAGGCAGGGAGAGGGAGAGGGAGAGGGAGAGGAAGAGGAAGAGAGAGACAGAGAACGAATCACAGCAACAATTAATTTAAGAACACAAGACGATACAACTTTATATATTGTGGATACTTGTAACATAGAACACGAAACACACATACGTGTCTCCTGGGCACAGATGTCCTTTTCTCATGATTCTATAAGAATGGTAGTGAGCTGTTCTTTCGCCGAGACAATGTTCTCAATAGGTGCCTCGATCTTTTCTCCATTTTCATTAAACTTTAGCAGGTCTATCAGCGTATACTTTAACCTGTTCATTTTTTGCCACCCTTTATTAATTTCCTCAAAGATATTTGTCTCATTTCTTGAGATAACTTCTCAATAGGTTGCTATAGCAACTGGGCTTCTTTAGGGGTTACACTTTTGTAATGCTCTGCTCAGAAAACACATTAGTCTTCGTGAATGATATTCTTTGGCCATACTAACAGACTAAATAATAATTAGACAGAAATTATGCTCGAACATATATTTAATAAACAAAAAAATATTCAAATCTACTTGCTCTTCTCCCCCCCCCCACCCCCACCCGTCTCCCCCACTTCCCAAATTATCTCCCCTGATCTTCTACCTCCTAAATCATCTCTCCTCCTCACCTTCCCCCCTTACCCACCTCCCCCTACTCCACCTCCCCCTACTCCACCTCCCCCTACCCCACCTCCCCCTACTCCACCTCCCCCTACCCCACCTCCCTCACTCCCTCACCTCCCCCCTACCCCATCTCCCTCACTTCACCCCCACTCCCTCACCCCCCCTTCCCCGAATACACTCACATCTTTGCTCCAACTGACGTGATACGCAGGTGGGTTGGCCCTCACGTGGCACTGGAGCACTGCGCCCTCTCCTTCCACCAATCTCGCTTCGTCTTCGTCTGCTTCGTCCTCTCCGTCGTCGTCGCCGCCATTCTCCAGCTTTTTCTGGGTCTTCCCATCTTCGTCTCGCTTCGCCGTCGCCGCAGAAGTGGACTTCGGTAACCCCATGTCAGAAGGAAACAGATCTTTGGTTCGGTGAAGAGAAGGAGAGAATGGCGGGCGGCGTCGTGGGGGCTTGGCGTCGGCTGCAGCGCCGTCAGTGCCAGCCGAGGAAGGCCTGGTCCGCTGCAGGTCCAACTCCACCTCCGGCTTGTCTGTGGGGGACGAGAGGGTGTGGGGGCGGGGGTTAGGGAAGCCAGAGGGCACGAGAGGAATGTTGATTGATGAGTGTTGCATGTGCTGAATTGTTAACGCATATGTTGGCGTTAATGTGTGCACGTTGGGAATATTTTATTGTTATTCTCGCAATCTCATCCAGCATAGCTCTCGACCACACCAATCGGAACATGATAAGGAAGGGGGGGGCGGAGTACAGTATATAGTACTTAGAAGGGATATGGATAAGGATTTAAGATGGGACGGGGAAGGGAAAGGAATGGTGCTCAACCACTTGGACGGCCGGGGAATGAACACCTAAAGCGAGACCGTCGCTTTACCGTTCAGCCCAAGTGGTTGGGTGAAAACATGATAAGGAAGTCTTTTTTTTCTTTAGAAACAAAAAAAAAATCACCAAATAACTTCAAATATTGAGCCTGGGAAACTAGCAACGGGGGGTGATGGTGGGGAGGGGGATGGTGAGAGGACCAAGATCCACAAGCACATGTGGTCACCTGCGATATCTGCACCTCTTACCTTGATCATTGCAAATCAGTCTGTATTTACTCAACAGTTTTCGCGTTCTGAAGCGCTACTAAGGATAGATTTGTTACGAAGCGCAAATATTCATTCAGGAAAACAATATCTTGCCAGACAAATGTAATCAAAATCTTTGACAGGATGACTGAGGTTAGGAAGGACAGGTGGACTGCACCTGACCAGAAAGACGGCAAGTAAATCACCCGTATAGACGAGGCCCAAGAGTTGAAGCCCGTCTTTCCATAACATGACGAGCATCTAGTTTAGTAAACATCTACAAACCTTCCCCCTCCTTACTTACACATAATATTAAGAGGGACGGAGTCGCTCTTGACCCAGATCTTGGGCGTGGTCTGGGAGGCGAAGGCGTGGTCTGGTGGGCGTGCAGTGCAGGTGAGGTGTGACCCGGCGTGGGCGGCCCGAGGCTTGTACACCAGGCGGCTCACTGTCTCCCCCTCCGCGTTCGTCTGGGGAAAAAACAAATGCCTGCTAGAGTGGCGGTCTGAGTGGGAGGGGAAAAGGTTGTGTATGCATCTGTAGCGGTATTAGGTGGGCAAACAGTAGGTGTTAGGTGGGCAAACAGCAGGTGTTAGGTGGACAAACAGCAGGTGTTAGGTGGACAAACAGCAGGTGTTAGGTGGACAAACAGTAGGTGTTAGGTGGGCAAACAGCAGGTGTTAGGTGGGCAAACAGTTAGGTGATAGAGCGTGACTGAAATACTGACCGTGGATGATGCGTGAATGTGCTGATGGTCGCCGACGGACCAGGTGAGGACCGGGGGAGGAGTGGCGCCCATGCTGCGACACTCCACTGTGTAGCTCACGCCGGCAGACATGGGCTTGTCCGCCCCCACCACGCGCACCCACGACGGCGACGCTGCAGCAGGCAACCAGAGAGAGAGAGCAAGGTCAGCACTTGTGGGTGACGGGTGATACCCGGTTAGTTTCCTATAAAAAACTAATTGGGTTTCCCTCCCTTCACCCCAGGGAAGATCCTGGGGTGAAGGGAGGTATTTCTAGGCAAGCATCTATTAACAGTTTCCCCCCAACCCCACTGAGGGTGGTGACCCAGCTGGCGAGAGAGACTCACAGAGGACCAGCAGGTGTACCGGGGTCCTGAGGGGCGGCATCAGGTGGGTGTTGGTGGCCTGGCACACGACGGGCGTGTGGGCGTCCTCAGGCCTCACAGTCACGCTAATGGAGCTCCTCACTACCTCCGACGTCCCCTCGTCCTGCTCCGCCGGCGTCTTCTCCTCCCCCAGCAGCTGCTGCCCCCCGCGCCACCACGTCACCGTCGGACCCGGCCGACCTGCAACACAGAATGGGAAGTCGGTATACCTGGACTTTCTTCAGAGACCGTAACACTTATAAGGCATTCTTAGACCACCTGGACCATCTCGCCTATACTTGCTAGACCTCAGTTAGGCCACCTGGATTTTATAGTGTTGGAAACAGCCGCTCCCGAATACATTACCTGGTGTCAGAGAGTGGAGTTATCAACTCTGTTAATGTCTAAATAATGCACAAGATTATTACTGAAGTTTCTGTTCGCATTTGTACGTGTTTGTTTCGGTAGGGATTACTTGGCATAAAGGTCACTGGACGAGGAAGGTCACTGGACAGAGATCAGATGACTGACGATCACCTGATGGGGGATAACCCAGCTACAGCGATGGTTTACCTCCGGTGGTGGAGCAGCGCAGGCGCAGTCTGGTGCCCGCCTCCACTGTCGCTGCAGCGGTCCCGTGGTCGGCCTCCACCCACCGCCCGCCCGTCCACACCTCCACCTTGGGCTCCGTCGGGGGCGCTGTCAAGAAGAGGGGGGAATAGTGTAGTGAAGGGTGGAGGCAAGAGGGGCGGGAGAGTGAGGGTGCGGATAAGAGAGTAGAGTGTAGAGAGAGAGAGGGGAGGGAGGATACAGGAAAGCAGAAGAATAAATTGGCCAAAAGCAGAGCTGACTACACAAATTGTAGTGTGGATACCAGCCGTGTGCCTACCAAACACTATGTACAGTCAGTATAACACCTGGTTTTGTTGCTTGTACAGAGAAAAATGCAAGTATTTGAAACAATGACTAGATATTTGTTATTTGCTTTTGTACTCCAGGCTTTCAAGTTAAATGTTAAGGGTATTTACATCAATATCAGATGAACCATGAACGAATTGCAGCTATTTTTTTGTTATGCCTAGTCTCCACACTGTAGAGAACCAACAGTAGTTGGATATAACAAGATGCTCGTAAATACAGTCGTTATATGTAGTACATGGATGCAAATCCTCTTCATGAGATGACAACCTATATATAAAGTCAACAACCCTAGACATCAGCAGAGAGTGGATATCATCCCTGGTAATGCTCTGCCTGGCCTGTACTGCAGCCGTCTTCACATGCTGCTTATTTTGTATTTGTGTTCAGCAAAACGCATGCTCAATTGGATTCAGATCAGGTGGTTGACTTGAGCAGTCAAGGACATTGCACTCTTCAACCAGACCAGCCGTTTGATCGCTTTATCAGTGTTTGTGGTGACTGTTCTGCTGCCAGGTGTCGTCCAGTGAGCCTTGAGGCTGTGATCTAATGCGATGATTCTGTACACTGAGAAGTGATGCTGCTGCTGCTGCCAGCAGTCACGTCAACAGTGAAGACACTAGACAGTTCCAGTGGCAAGACGTCAACATATCTGAGCCATAATACTACTTCCATATTTTCCTTTGGTTCACGAGCGGTTCCTTTCTTCCTCTACATTTTCCTCTTTCCATCAGTCCAGTACACGTTAAAAAATTCATGTGGGGATAAAAGCAAAGATTTAAATCAGCAAAATTAAGTGATTTGAATAATTTAAGGTGGCTTCAAAACCATAATTAATCTTAATATTATATGAATAAACAAAATACTGTACAAGATTTAGTTCATATAGGAGTTTTAGAAATGGTTTAATTTGTTCATATTAATCTTCGTCGTTGTAGCAAACGTTAACCTGGCCGCTCCGTTCTTGGTTTACCAGAAGTAAACATCTTGGAGGTGAACCGTCGGACGCTATGCTGGTGTAGTCTTCCCCTTACGGTACAGTTCTCAACCCCCTGGCTACGTCCTGCAGTGTTCTGTTGTCAACTCTCCATGTACCTGTATGTAAATATTTTCCCTTTCCGCTCTCTCGTGGTGTACAGGTGGCTTCGTTCTCGAAGCCACCTGTACCAAGACATAGTAGTAATATGTCTTCTAGTATGGACTCTTGTTACAATAATCGGGGGTCCCGGGTTCGATTCCCGAGAGGAAAAAAAAATGATTAGGCACGTTTCCTTTCACCTAATCTTCACCAGCAGTAAATATATATATATTATATATATATAATATATATAATATATATATGTAATAATTTATACTATATTATATATATATATATATATATATATATATATATAATATATATATATATATGTAATAATTTATACTATATTATATATATATATAAATACACGTATAGAGGCTTCCTTTCCAAGACAAAAGTAATTATCTGTGAACTCACCGACGATGACCAGCTTGGTGTGGGTGTTCCTGGAGGGGGCGCGGTAGAAGTCCACGCGGCACTTGTACACGCCCGCGTCTGACTCTTGGGCGTGGGTGATCCTGAGGAAGGCCAGTTGTGGGCGGGAGCGAGGCGTGGGCGGCAGTGTCAGAGTCAGCGCTCCGCCCAGGCTGCGCCGTTCGGACCAGTGGCGCTCTCTTCCTTTGTCACGGCCGTCGTAGCTGTGGGGACGGGGCGTTGAGGTTGGTGTGGTGTGGCGGTGGGTATGGTATGGTGTGGTGTGGGGGTGGGTATGGTATGGTGGGTATGTGGTGTTGTGGGAGTGGGCATGCGATGGTGTGGTGGTGGGATGGTGTGGGCGTGTTGTTAGAAAAGGCAGGAGTCACTTAATTATTTATATATTATATATTGTATATTACATATACATATATATAGATAGAAAGGTAGAGTTCAAATGCTAACTGCTGGATCCTACAGGCATAAACAGGTCAGTAAACACAGGCATGACCCGTTCACCCGTTCCCTCACCTGTATATAGTGGACCTGACACCTTCTCTGTACCAGAGGATGAGCTGTGGCCGTTGAAGGTGGTCATCAGTGATGGTGGGGGTGAGGTGGCGACGGTGGGGGGCGTGGCCATTACCCAGGGTGGGCGTGGTGACGCAGGGAAGGTCCGCCTCCTGCCCCTCCAGCACCACCACCTCGTTGTGTCCCTGGACGCTCTCCGCTGGAAGTAACAGAAATAATGGCTTTAAAATGTTATTATTCTTTGGTATATTTTAATGATCAGAGTTCTCTCGTATTTCTTCACAGTTTTGTTCATTCACATTTGTATTACTTTTATATTAGGTTCATTTTTTATGTTAAGTCAGCTGATGTGTTGTTGTGGCCTCCGACCGCTAGATGTCTCTAAGAGTAGCCGTGTTTTGGTGGTCAGTTAATGTCTTGGTGTTCATTAGAACACAGTTAATGTTAGTGTTCACAGAGCCTGTGTGGGGACAACAAGTCGCCTGCCACATCTAACTCCTCGCCCCCTGTTCTGCATTAAACGTGATCTTCATGGATGATATTAGTGAGTGTAATTATTAGTGGTAATAATAGAGTCTCTGAGTGACTGAAGACAGTGGACGATGTAGAGAGTGAGGATGGCAACAACGCAGTCCCAGAGTTGATGTTGTAGTTTCAGATTTAGCTGCTTAGAACGAAGTGTCCATGTAGCACGGGCTATGGTCCCAGAGTTGATGCGAGGGAGAAGGTTTCTTCCTGGGTGATTGATTGATTGATAAAGATTAAGCCACCCAAGAGGTGGCACGGGCATGAATACCCCGTAAATTACCAGAGAGGGTGGCCATGTATATATAACGGTGGTGTATGTATATACTACCCACTTACGGGCTATTCATGCCCGTGCCACCTCTTGGGTGGCTTAATCTTTATCAATCAATCAATCAATATACTACCCACCATCTGGTCACCACTTGGTCCGGGAGACATCTCCCGTCATGCAGGGTGCAGTCGCGCCTCCACAGATCTCCAGTATCAGCTCTTGATACTGGTAATGGCTCAAAAGGGCCACCACTTACGGGCTATTCATGCCCGTGCCACCTCTTGGGTGGCTTAATCTTCATCAATCAATCAATCAGTATATACTAACCTAGCCTCATGATAAGATAGTACGTTGTGTAATTATGTGAACGATTGTACACATATGGGCGTGGTGGACAAATAGAAACGATATTGCAGTTTCTCTTGTATAATCCTTGTATATTGCTACGTTTTTTTTAAATGCACGTGGTGCTGTATGTAAATATCACACAACCCTCGTGGTTATCGTGAAGCCCCGGCACCCTCGTGGTTATCGTGAAGCCCCGGCACCCTCGTGGTCGTTATCGTGAAGCCCCGGCACCCTCGTGGTCGTTATCGTGAAGCCCCGGCACCCTCGTGGTCGTTATCGTGAAGCCCCGGCACCCTCGTGGTCGTTATCGTGAAGCCCCGGCACCCTCGTGGTCGTTATCGTGAAGCCCCGGCACCCTCGTGGTCGTTATCGTGAAGCCCCGGCACCCTCGTGGTCGTTATCGTGAAGCCCCGGCACCCTCGTGGTCGTTATCGTGGAGTCTGGCACCCTCGTGGTCGTTATCGTGGAGCCTGGCACCCTCGTGGTCGTTATCGTGGAGCCTGGCACCCTCGTGGTCGTTATCGTGGAGCCTGGCACCCTCGTGGTCGTTATCGTGGAGCCTGGCACCCTCGGGGTCGTTATCGTGGTGCCTGACACCCTCGGGGTCGTTATCGTGGTGCCTGACACCCTCGGGGTCGTTATCGTGGTGCCTGACACCCTCGGGGTCGTTATCGTAGAGCCTGGCACCCTCGGGGTCGTTATCGTGGTGCCTGACACCCTCGGGGTCGTTATCGTAGAGCCTGGCACCCTCGGGGTCGTACAGTAGCAGTTATTTTCCCAGGACGGTGGGCAGGACCGCCAGGCGAGACACAGGCGCGCCATCATAACAGGAGTGGATTTTTTCCCCTAGTATTATTGCCACCATTAAACTGGAGCCTTGCCGGGGGGGGGGGGGGGGTTTATTTAACAATTCGTACCTAATAAAGTTTGCAAAATTGAGTATGAGCTCCGTAGTCTTTCCAAATGGTACTATTTGTTTAATGCAGTTTGACTTCTCGTTTCTGGTTGAAACTGTTTGTAAAGCTGTGGATGAGCCCCCTTCTCTTGCCCTCTCTTAGTAGCTCCACTGGCTTACAAGATGTCTCCTCACACCTCGGTGGAGCATCTTAGTGTTTAGCTTAGTGTTATATGCTGAGGTTATGTTGCTCGGGTGGGTGGGAGTATTCACCTAGTTGTGCTTGCAGGGGTTGAGCTCTGGCAATTTCGGCCGCCTCTCAACTGTCAATCAACTTTCCCCAGGAGTATAGGGGGGGGGGGTATACGGCTACCACCCACATGGTGGTGGTGGTCGTGTACCCCATAACCCTCAGGATGGGTATGGGGTGAATAATACATGAACTAAATCTTAACCTTGTCACCGATAACTGCCTCATTGGCTTGAGGTTTCCGTTTGTGTATAGTGTGTGTGTAGTGAGGAGCGCGCCTCTGCCGGAACACAACCGCCCTGATGCCTCTTGGTTGTCAACCTTCAATCTCCCCCTCCACCCCCCCCCCCCTGGCTTTACTCGCGGAAGTAACAGTAGCAAGAAAGAGAGGAAAGTTAAGCGAGAGGGAAACTATGAACAAGAGTGGGTGGAGGAAGGGCGGAGGGAAGGGTATAACACACAAGGCACCACAGCAAATGTAGATATGATAGAGCCCAGTAGGCTCGGGAATCTGTACACCAGTTGATTGACAGTTGAGAGGCAGGAGCAGGGAGACGGGGCTCAGCCCCTGCAAGCACAAATGGGTGAGTACAGCAGCAGTGGGCATCCTACCCCTGGTTCTTAATGTTTTGTCACACGTCCCACTCCATCAGCCTGGACGACAGGCGTCAGGCAGGGGGAGAGCTTGATGGGGGGTTGTGGTGGGGGGGGGAGAGAGCTTGCACGGGGGCTGGGGGTTGGGGAGTTTGCAGTTGTTGGGGGCTGGGTGAGGGAGAAGGCATTCCTGTGTACGTGGTTCCCACGATATGTTGGTGAGCGGTAGCAACAGGACAACCGCCTTTTTGCATCTGCCAGACATCTAATGCGGTGGTACAATTCTTGATTTGCATCTATGTATTGTATTTGCCTCGACAAACCTTCTCCTCTAACTTGTTCCATTTTTGTTTACGTTTCACTGCCTCATCTCCAGCTTCCGTCTTTGGCCTGTTGTGACGCCTGTTAATCCGTTCAGTCCTCTTTGATTTGCCAATACCCCTTGGGATCTTATACATCGCAATCATGTCTCTTGTCTCCCGTTTCGTAACTAATGTAAGTAAGATCGAAGCCCCCCCTCAGTCTTTCCTAGTACCACAAGCCTTTTAATTCTATGACCAGTCTCGGTGCATTCTTGAGTTTTATCTTGTGTAGTCTTATATATATGAGCTGTATTCAGGACCCGCTTGCTGTATCACCCACACGAACCCCTGGTGTTGAGGACCCGCCACACACACCACAACACATACCACAACACCCCACAACACCCCCCCCCCCTCACAGTGACATGCTACACTGATGGCTCGGTAGATCCACACAGGCAGCAGCAGCAGCAGCAGCTGTCAGCTCGCTCTCCTCTTCCAGTAAATATATGACAACCATCAGTCTAATGTATTGATAAACAGATTCCAAACCAGCTATTCAAACCCTAATGAATCCTAAACCATCAGACTAGGTAAACTTACTCACCACAGTCCTTCTCCTTTTAGATCCTTCAGACCACTATACAGACCACTATAACGCAACAGGTACAACAAGGGTAGTGGGCGGGGCATAAAAGAGCTAGACCTCACTCCTCCGTAGTCACTAATAGGTAAGGTACAGACAGACGTTTTCCGCCTGATGTGGTTGTGCAACAGTGGTCGCTCTTCAACTTTGCAAATGTCCTTTTCAAATTGCCTTTTTTTCTGGCTCATGTATGTTCATTCTAGGCTCTGCACATGCTCCTGTTCTCATGTGTAGATGTACCGTTTCCTGTGTGTGTGTGTGTGTGTGTGTGTGTGTGTGTGTGTGTGTGTGTGTGTTGAGGTTGTTGGCCAACACGCACATGTGTACGTTTAAATAAACTCGTCCCAAAGTTTCAGTCTTGGATAGGCGTCAGTAAGTAGGAGAGAGAGTCGCCAGAACTAAGAGTGTAGGAGTAGTTTTGTGAATGAGTGGATCAGCTGAGGCTCGTGAGCCTTTTCTGTGACGTACGTATCAGCTGAGAGGACTGTGGTTATCAGGCAGTGTAAACACAAGGAGTTACTTCACTCGGGTGAGTGCCGGCACTACACTACACGTTCTCTTAGCTGGTTCGTTCGCAAGCATCTTGGCTGGTTCATTCGCAAGCATCTTGGCTGGTTCGTTCGCAAGCATCTTGGCTGGTTCGTTCGCAAGCATCTTGGCTGGTTCGTTCGCAAGCATCTTGGCTGGTTCGTTCGCAAGCATCTTGGCTGGTTCGTTCGCAAGCATCTTGGCTGGTTCGTTCGCAAGCATCTTGGCTGGTTCGTTCGCAAGCATCTTGGCTGGTTCGTTCGCAAGCATCTTGGTTTGTTCGTTCGCAAGCATCTTGGCTGGTTCGTTCGCAAGCATCTTGGCTGGTTCGTTCGCAAGCATCTTGGTTGGTTCGTTCACAAGCATCTTGGCTGGTTCGTTCGCAAGCATCTTGGTTGGTTCGTTCGCAAGCATCTTGGCTGGTTCGTTCGCAAGCATCTTGGCTGGTTCGTTCGCAAGCATCTTGGCTGGTTCGTTCGCAAGCATCTTGGCTGGTTCGTTCGCAAGCATCGTTGGCTGGTTTGTTCGCAAGCATCGTTGGCTGGTTCGTTCGCAAGCGTCTTGGCTGGTTCATTCGCAAGCGTCTTGGCTGGTTCATTCCCAAACGTCTTGGCTGGTTCATTCCCAAAGTCTTGGCTGGTTCATTCGCAAGCGTCTTGGCTGGTTCATTCCGAAACGTCTTGGCTGGTTCATTCGCAACAACGTTAGCTGTTCCATTCACAACATTCAGAGGTGTTTGACAAGGATATGTAAACAAACATTTCACTCACACTCCCGTCACCTGTGTTTGTAAGCCCCGCTGGCATAATATTTTCTTGGCACCCTCCTGTCAGAAGCCATGAGCAAATTAAAGGGATTTAAAACGTTAATGGTTAGATCGGGATTGACTTAACGTCAAGTAGAGATGACACTGTTTTCAGTGTTTTGAGAATCTAGGCATGTTTGTAAGTTTGTTTTTCTGGATATAGAAGGTTTTTCTCTAGTAACTTGATGTTAGAAATGTTTGAAGAGAGAGATACTGGCCCGGGCTTGGGAAGTAGAACAACTCCCAGAACCCCCTACAGGTAAGATCCAGGCAAGATATCCTTAGTTGGTTAGACATGACTTTGGAGGAGCTGTATTGCCCGTTGCTGTGTGTAAGTTCTTGAGGGGAGTAGACAGGGGGTCATGTCAGAGGCCAGG